CTAAACAGTTTTTGAAATGCGGACACACTGAGAAAAAAGTATTTTGACGTGTCATTTATGTCGAACTAAAAATCTACCGTTGATCATTACGACAGAACGAAAAAAAATATATAAAATTAATGATTTGATGATGAATGAACTAAGAAAAATGTTCCGAAGGAACGTATATATATTTTATATACATATTATAAACAAAAATATCTATTTCAAGGTAGAATATAATTATTCACTCATTACGCATTATTAACGATATCAATCAATAATTTTCTTAGTGATTTTTTAGTTCACATGAGCAGGTTAAATGATTATCCTTGAAAAACAGTTTCAATCACATTCAAGTGGACGAAAAAATCAACAATCAGATTCACTCCTCAAACCTTATTAATTGATTGTAATTCGATGCGTTAATACAATGTACGGTATTATAGTATTCGATTGTTATTTCCAAAATTATAAACGTACCGTTGTAATGAACGCACTTAAGTGAAAATAAAGGGAGTATTATACGGCGATCGAAATAAAATCGTTATGACGCTGATTAAATTATATATAATATATAAAATTTAATACGGTTATATTTCACACACAAGTGCTTTGATGTAGGAGGTGTATTATTATCGACTAAATAACAGCGTGCATTGAGAGACTTTTGTGTTTTTATCCGACATAAATCCGAAGGCGTACTGGATCGGATTAAAATACGCAATAAATGTATATAATATATAATACGGTTAACAATTACAAAACATCGTCCCATTACTAATTAAATTATAAATAAATGAATCTCTATTTCCTTTGGCCACACCTTAACTATAAACAGTAGAGTTATTCTATTATCTATTGCCATAACTTGAAAACGATTTTACTGTTTTAACTGATTTTTGTTTGTTTTATTCATAATTTTCTGGTCATGGTTTGTAGGAGAAAAAAATTTTAGAATATCTATTAAATAAATTGAACATTCGTTACAGTTGATATAATATATATTATATATATATATACACACATTATATATATATACGAGTATAATGTGTTTGAAGTTTTGCGTTCGATTCACTCCAACACTGTTTAACCGATTTTGATAAAATTTGGTACAGAGATAGATTAGACCTCGGAGAAGGATATAAGACTATCTTATATTACGATAAAAATAAAAGGGAACCATTAGTATACCTGATAAGGTTCAAACAGACTTGTTGTTTTAATATTGCGCTAACAACCGAATAAATTCTAACGTCATAAAACTCATATTCACTATTTTCCAGGTGCACATGGTAGTATGCACCTAGAAAATGGTGAACATGTGTATTTAACTAAAAATAATTTCTAAGAGCTTCAAATAACATTTTAAAAATAAAGTTTTCTTATATATATATATATATATATATATATATATATATCAATAATATACATTATCAACCGTTGAAACAACTTATTATATGATACGTGTATTAAATTGTATGCTGACAATGAGATACAAATATTTTATTGAAATTAAAATTTCATACTTTAAATTATAATACTAAGTAGAAGAATATTTGACTTTATTAATATTATTATGTTATCTTCTCTCTTGTATGAACTGTATCAGTTCGTAGCAAAAATATATAATGATTACTAACATTATCGCAAAGCTGATCATTTTTATAGTGACTATTGTTTGTCAGTAGTTATGTGTTATGAACACAATAACTGGATCTTTGAACAATATAATGAATGCAATTAGTAAATTACTTTCCTCTTCTCTGCTTTGGTTTAAGATATATTTTCAAAGAGATTTTTTTTTATCTACGTATTTTGTCCGTAAATTAATAGTGTATGTATAATACATGTTTTGATAATTTATCAGCTTGAATAATCTATTGCTTAAAAATCCATCATTTACAACCAGTTGTTAAATAAGTATAGGTTAACACGATATTTTTATTTTTCATTTTTTAATTACCAGTTGTTTATTATTAATTGTTATTACAAATGTAATATAAATGTAAGTTTCAGCAAATATTTGAAAACAATTTTCTTTGAATAAAAAATGTAGTAGTATAAAAATCAAATTCTTTGACATTTCTGTTGACCGTAATTCGTAATAATGTAATATGTATGGGTTTTATTTATGCACTACAGAGAATGTTTTTTTTTGCAAAATATGTCAGAAATTCTTGGATTAGTGAATGTTATAAGAACAATGTTTTGTGCAGCTAGGGAAAAACAAATTTTTGAATAAATAAATATATTTAAAATGAGGACGGATAAAAAAAAAATCACGATTATACTATATAATATACAAACAAAAAAAAAATATCGTCAAAGGGATTAACTGATATAATTATTTTTATGCTCATATAAAAGGATTCGACGTAAGTGCGTGATCACATGGTTTGTACACGAGTACGTACGAACTGAAGAGCTGAAAATCCTTGTTGATCCTGGATATATTTCCAGGATAGAAATACGTGTTAAAATCATAATACTCCGGGGGATGGCGAAATCGATCCATCGACGTTAATCCACGGTTTCGTTTATTCTGGAACTGTACATGTTATAATCTCAAAAGACATTGAAAAACAAGCACATACAGCAGCCTAAAGGATTCCGTCCATTTTTACTTCCTCCGTTATTTTCACTCAACACGGGTCTCATCCAGCGTTCTTGTTCTGAGTTATTTACTTTTTTCCATATATTTTTAACTTTCTTGCTCAGTATGGTAACAACCACCACCGTGGATACATGTGTGCTAATCGCGCTTCGTAATCATCAATGTCGATGTAAATTACACACGAACTTCACATAATTACGTAACATAACTACGGTACACTACGTTTCGGGGCCGCTTAACATGTGTGTCACCTCGATCACCACAAACAACTAAATTAAAACAGCATTTTTCCTCATCTTCCAGCTATTCATAACGACACAAAGGAAAAAAAAAGCTAATCATTTAGTTTATCAAATCGCTTCGTTGCATTGGTTAAGGCATATATCAGAATGAGTTGGGTATAAAGAGCCACCGTAAACTGAAGTCACATCTAAGCGTACTAGAATACCAGCGATTTCTGAAAAGAACGTCACCAGTTTCTCAATATTCAATGAGAAACTAATATCACTCACAGATATTAACGATTTTTCGTGTTATCCACATCATCATTCATAACAGTTCAACTCAAAAACTCCCAATTGGTACCAATGCATAATTTCACTCCATTCGACCATACGTCAAATGCCACTAAGGTAGTAATTGGAAATATCCATAATTCTAAAATACTAACTGATATTTTAGACGCTATGGCCAAACATGGACACTTCGCCACGCGCGCGGTTAATATCAAAAAGAGTAATCGTCCCTTATCACTGTTCCACGTAGAACTCGTTAAGAATGAAATTAACCAAGAAATCTTTAAAATTAATATACTGATTCACTCTGCTGTGATTGTCGAGAAACTACTTACAAAACGAAATAATCCGTCACAATGCTACACATATCAAACATATGGCCATACGCGTAACTACTTCAGTCGAAAATCTAGGTTCGTTAAATGCGGCGAAGATTGTAGCATCCCGATTAGATGTGCACTATGACCTGATGCTCTAACGACAGAGGTTATACAATATACATAACCCCTCCCCCCGTAAATCCGCCACTGATATCAACCGGTCCATCATAACCGATGTTAAACCTATATCCAATGCAATGTCATTCGATGTGATTTAATGTCGAAAATCTTAAACGAATTCGAAACCTTATTTAACATTTTAATAATTCTACTTTCTATCCTTTTAGACAAACTCTCAACAAACTTCCTATAATTATCGGTAATTTCAATATCAAATCTCTTATTCATAAATTTTAATAAAAAATTATCATTAGTGATCTATATTTAATATTAGTTATATTATATATCAAATAACTGAAATATTTAATTGCCTTGTAAACATTAGTGTCATATCATTAATTACATTAATGTCATACGCAATATGGTATTATATTTTAAAAGTTTGTAATTGCATTAATTTTTGGAAACATTTTAAATTAAATAAATTAAAAAAATAATAATCTTTCTTATTACCATACCACGCATACCGTCACGAAGTTGCATTGCCGTTTTGACAACGTCGGAGAATAATATTTTTTTTTTGTTTTTTAATAATTTGAATAATTCGACGGTACTCTTTTTGTTTGAAGATAACATAAAAAGAATGCGTTAAAAATAATGATATAAACTACGTATCATTATAAACGAGATGTTTTTTTTTTTTTTTTAACGAACAGACATTTATTGCTAATCTAGCGCATACAAGCGAACAATCTTCTAACGTACTCGACACCAAAAAAGTTTATGCACCTCAACCGTTTCGAAATTGATCGCGATACGCAAAACAGCTATTGTTTTCGTAGCATGATATACACCTACCTGCGCTAAGTAAATTTGTGTTTCGTGTCAAAACCGAAGTCCAACTAACTGTAAGTTGATTAATTATTTCTGTATATCATGCTTTTTCTCGGTTCGGAGCGTGCATATGTGTAAGTGTACGAATAATGCATTGCGCTTGATAACAACTGAACATTTATGTAAAGCGTAAAAGGGGTTTCCACTCGTAGTTTTCTTTCGGGCATTGTAAACATATTAATCCCATCAAAAGTTACGGAGATTCGATTAAAATAAAACTTCTCATACTCGAATCGTTATATTATGCAAATATACAATATGTCTATTAGTGTTTTACTCGTTACAAACGAAATAAATCATTTTGCATTAAACGGTGAACGTCCATAGCACGACGTACATTATGCCAAGTTGAACTTTTAACTAGATTCGCCCAGGGTGTATCCTCGATCGTAATCTAATCAGTATACCCTGAGTTTAAACATTTAAACCGTACCCGCGCACTATGTAACGCTCGCGTCCGACGATTATTTTTTACATTTTTTTTTTTTACTTTATACACTTGAATTCTACACTACGATTACAATACTTTAAAACATTACTGCTGCAGTTATTTACCTTCAATTCGTCGGCTTCGATGTATCCGCTGCCGTCGGTATCGTATTCCCTCCAAATCTGAAACGCGTACACATTATTTAGCATACGTTAATACGGGCGCGTAACAACTATTCGCAAAATATTATTGAAATCGTACGCGGACGTGTGCAAACTACTATACCTTCATGAACTCGACACTAGAGTCTAATGGGTTGTCGAATCTGAACAGGAGCAGAAAGTTCTCTTCCATGGGCAAAAGTTGAGCAAGCTGCAAAACGCAATAACGGTTAATCAATCACCGGGGAGTTACGTGTAAATTATAGCCATAAGCCCGCGGTACAGGCGGATAATTTATTATTACTTCGCGTATGTCAATTTTCCCATCTTGATTATCATCGTAGGCCTCCATGAAACATTGTTTGAGTTCCACCAGCATAGCATCCGAAACCGCCTGCAAAATCAAGTCAAACGCTCAAGACGGACACGTGTGGTAAATTTTTCTACAAACATTTGTTCGCTTATACGGTATGAAACACGACAACAAAGTGTTCATATATTTTGCACGGTCATAATATATTGCGCTCTCGAGATTGTAGAATAATAAGTTGAACGTTTTGTAAATATTTTCGTATGGTTTTTTTTTTTTTTTTTTTTTTTTTATTTTAGCGCTCCGCGCAATATAAAAATATTATTCATTCCGAGATTCTTAACATTCTTTCGACCGAATCCCGGATGGAAGGAAATGTACAAAGAAAGTCTTGAAGAATATTAAAATCAGTGTGCACGACAAAATAGTTTAAAATAAAATATTTAATATTGTTTCACGTTCTACCTATTTCTTTTTCAAATTCCAAAATCCACCGAATAAAAATAGGTGTGTAGGAAAGAACGGAGAAATAAATTAAAATTACTAAATCGATTCTATCATATAGCATGAAATAAGCCACCACAAAAGACAATGCTGAAATGTATTCGCCATGTATTACACGACATTGTAAATTAAACCCCAGGAAAAATAAAAATCAATAAATATTGTACGAAATTAAAAATGATTGCATGCATTTTGCTTGGAAATTAATTAACATAATTAACTCGATTATGACAGTTGACATTTTTGTATAGTTTTACTTTAAATTGAGAATGATTACAAACTTATTTTTCAATGTTGATTTATGGTTGTACCTTACCTCATAGAACTGAAATTATTTTAGATTTTTAAAACTTAAAATTGTATTTTCATTTTTAAAATCAAAGAGAAACTGCAGTGAAAGTTAGTGATTAGGACTTAGTGGATTTAGGTTACTATGATTTTTTTGTTTTTCTTTAGTTGGACAGTAAAAAAAAAAAAACTCTATACGCATGTGATGAATTCTTCGTGCTTGATCAAACATATATTTTATACGTTTAAATTGCGAGATTTCCGAACAGTTTAGTACTGAAACAAGAATGTTGCAAATAGTCGAAATAATAAAACGTTATTTGCTTTCGTAGAACGAATACAACATTTTCGGGCAAACCGAGCTCAAAATCGTTTCGTGTATGAAAAAATTTATAGTTGTTCTAAAGTTAAAATTAATAACACCGCAACGTTACCAAACGCGTTGTAGAGATGAGCTATAAACGCGAGACACGAGCCAATATAAACGGATATTTTAGTATTCGATAAACTACTTTCGGTTCATAAAGTCTCTTCGGAATCTAGAGAGCATTATTATTTTTCCGCGATTCTTTCCACCGTACGTAAACCATGTTAGACCGTGATACGCGTATTTATCGATTTTTATTTCAAGACGAAATCGAGCGCGTGGAAAGAGTGAACATCGAGCCGCGTATATGATAAACGAGAACATTTAAGTACACATTATGTATTCTTCTAAGTTTCTTATTTTGAAATGTTGTTTTGCGCGTCCGTTGGTCGTGCATCGAGATGCACGTGAAACGTTCGGAGACCGTTTGGGATTTAACCGACCATGATCGTGGGTTAACGCACCTGTCGGTGATCGTTTGATAAATCTGCGGCGGCCAACGCATATTTCGTGTAATATTTCACACGACGAGGATGTAAGCAAAAAATAAAAAATAAAAATCATAAAAGAATCAAGTATTTTGTGATATATATGTGTATACCGACCGAAAAAGTTGTCACCTGTATCACTTTGTTATACACGCGGATAACGATTATTTCGGTATTAAAAATTGAACACCGTAGTGTTTTGATATAATTAATCGCACGAACACCGTATTTTTCGCACGAAATTAAAGGGTAGGGGAGAGCTGACAACCATAAGGCTGACGGTTTATAAGACCGACGGACGGTGGGCTGAATAAATTATAATTTATCAAAGCTACAACATTAAAAACACTTTCCAACGCATCTCGAATAATTTTTTCAGTACACATCTTTTCCCAATAAAAAAGATTTTCACGAACATTATTTTTTATTAAGATGGTTCAGATACCGTCGGATTTCGCTCAATAAAATAATTGTGTGTCTAAATCCAGTGCGTTAATTCAAACAATTAACTAACACGAAAACGTTGATAATATTATTGGATCGATTTGGAAGTCACAAAATACATAAAATATATACCGTATCGTTCGTCGGATTATCGTGACGCGCAGTAAACTAGATAAGAACGGGTATAAAAAAGCGTACGGCTCCGGTGTAAAAATTATAAAAAATGTATCGTTATGCCCATCGATCGTTTTCCGTACCACGCGTGTAGGAGGGCTACGTACCGCTGCGTTATGAATTGTAAAATATTAAATCTCGAATTGTCTTGTCCACCGCACGCGCGGCTTATGGGCACCTATTTAGTAACAGGCCACATGCTCCCGGGTATTCGAATAAAAATCTAACACGTCGGACGGCGTATGGATTTAATTCCGTTACGTGCTTTAACGTGCAAATCAATATTGCTTTTGTTGAAATGAAAAACCGTAAAACACGCGTGTTACGTCCAGCTCGTTCATATGGTCACGTGAAAAACTGAATCGTACAATTATAAATCGGCGTGTATTGCTTAACTGTACAGTTTTTCGACAGTCGCGACGTCCCAAACACTCCAACTTGAACGGCCGCCATAAGTGAGATTCAGATTTCCCGTGCGCACGAACGATTTTTGCGTAAAAAGTTGTTATTGCTTTCCAGCGACTTTCCCTGTAGGCATTTATTCGTATTGCCGTTTTCAACTGTTTGCACTTTTGACTCGATAATGTCATCGCGATCGAATTGTCCTGCACGGCAACCCGAAGGACTACGTGACTTTACACGGTGCTACAGTCGATATTAATTCCGCGCCTCCGATGTAAACGCAACATTTGGTATACACACGTCCACACGAAGTCCAACGGGTTCCGAATATTTTTCACGAAAATTATAAGAATAATAATTATTATTAAAGCCGTAAAAATATCGTTTTCACACCAGAGCAATTGGGCTATTGCGCGAGTGCAGTATGAAAATATAAACTCCGTTAAGTTTTTTACTTGTATTTCAATCGATTTTTTTATTATTAATTTATGTGTTTTTTCCATCTAAATATAATATTTATCGATATATATATATTTGATGTTTTTGTAAAAGTAATGACTATTTTCTTTTTCAATTAAAAATCGACAATTTTAGTTTTACGAATTTAACATAACTTTATATTTAATCACATTTTCAAAACGTTTGACCGTATTGACTTTAGTATTTTATTCGGTAATCTCAAAAACCATGATAATATATAAGTATGTTTTTCTTTCCACTTCGCTTGAAAATTGAACTAGTTGACCGAGTGAGATTGAAATAGTAATTCTAGATAAATACGAATGCCACATTTTCGTTTATCTTCAATAAACATTCAATTCACCGTTTATTATTATTTGCAACTATTAAGTCAATATTATGGTACTGTTTAAATAAATAAGTGTTCCTATAAAGAAGAATAAAGCACGACGGCGTTTGTACACAATCATAAAACAACGGTTTACCACGATTTCGTATTTGTTTTGAGGTACTTGCTTATCGCATTACGGAGCCTTTAATCATGATATAATGAAATACAATTTAACGTATTTGTTAATATATACATTTCCAGAGCTCGGAGAACTACGGCCGCCTAACGGGCGACACCGATGAGCGCGAAAAAAATTCCATGTAAAGCGAAACGCGACTGAGCTGAGTTCGGAAAAGAACGAAAAAAAAAAAACGTATTTATATATATATATCGTATTAACCGCGTGAAAATCGCTAAGTTGCGGTTATGCGCTGTATAATACCCCGAAGAGACCCGATGATAAATTATTGTCGACACGCGGCTACAGCGATCGATCTTTTTTTCACCTCGACACTTTTATTTCTAATTTTTTCTTCCGGCACAAAGCCCTTTTTCGCCGCCGCACCGCATGCACGTCCCGCGGTAAAGTGTTCCGTTGTCGTCGCGTGTTGTTGCCGGATACACCGAACGAAACGGGCGAGCGGCAAAATAAAAGGATTCGTTTTGACGTCCCGACCAGACTTTATTTATACAGACAAACGGCAGAAAAGTCCGGCACGGCTTGCAATATTAATTTCCAACGTTTCACGCGGGCCATTCGTGTACACACCCGCCGGCGCACTGGAATGGTAACGCGCCACGAGAAAACGGATCGGGGCAAAAGAAGCAAAAATGACCTTTGCCAACGGGGGTTAGACACTCGGCGGAGATGCCGACAACGGCTGAACGCGGACGAAGTGCGCAAACCGTTCGATACAACTATTGCGACGTGTCCTTAAAAAAAAAAAAAAAAAATAATAATAATAAGATGTCCTCGAAGTTTCCAAGACCACACACGAACGGTGATTGTTATCCGATGGGACGTACGTGCGCGCGTGTATGCCGAACGTTTTGGCGATCAATATTCATTTGAAATGTTAATACGATTCGTATTGCGTTACGGTTTTCGAATACGATTCGAGTAGCGTACCAAACACTGTACACACGATACAATATAAATCATCCGTGGTTATACAGCTTGAAAATATCTCGTATTTTATGTCAAATCGCAGCCGCAACAATCGAGTCATGATGTTATTAAAAATTCAACATTATCTAGAAAGATTACAATGTTATTGTTTTTTTTTTCTTTTTCAAAAAAAATTGTTTTTCGAATGATACCCGAACATAAATAAAGTAACGTCGTCATTAAATCTTAATTGGAAATAATCGTACAGCAAATACACGTAGTGTTTATTCTGTACCGAAGTAAATATTGAATTTCAATCATATATCTTTAAAAATGTAACCTTATCAAATCAGAATGAGATTGTTATGGTATTTGTAAATTCGTATTGGTGGTTTTGACGAGCATAATGATATGCAGTGCCATAGACAGGAGGGGTTTAGGGGGCTATAGCCCCTTATCTCATGTGTCGTGTTTATGTGTACCCGTATGTACTACAATAGTATGCTAATGTTTGGTATTTAAGTATTTTAAAACTTTGGTTCTAACCACGAGTAAATGTTGACGAATAACGGATGTTTGTCTTTGGTACATAAACGTATTACTTCTATCGTGATAATCTCTAACTTTTTTGTGGTTATCATCATAAAGGTTGGGGCTACTCTTACTTGTTACGGCAATGCTACCGTAGTCTTCCACCGTTAATTTATTATTATTATAAATTATATACTAATAAATATTATTAAAACTATTTTCTAATGCTGGAAATACATTTATAAACTTGGTGGTCGTGATTAGAGAGAGGTGAACTCTCAAAAACCTAAACTAACTATAACCTAACCTCTCATTTAAAAATCTTGGCTATGCCACTGATGATATGAATACTATTGTAAGCATTATACCGCAGTTTGTTACAATAAACACATGACGTTTTAAATGTATTGAAAATTCTACGAAAATGTATGAGGTCGAATATTTCTTGTTTATTAAAATAAGGTTTAAAAACATTATATTCTTCGACTCGTATAGAAACACGTAGAGTCAAAACTTTATATTTCACATCGTTTATTAAAAACTGTTATGAAACCCTAACATTTACGTCAAATTCATAAATGGTTTTTTTACATGACTAAAATGTACCATTTATCGTGCATAAATAAAATTTATTTTCCTGCGTTCATATTTTTTTCACGAAAATACACGTGTCTGTGCGTACAATAACCATCTGCTCGTCACGTGGCCTTTCCATTTTTTTCCCTTACACTTTAGGGACCTATACAAATAATTTTGTTTTTCTCTCGCTAATTCAGAGGTTTTTTTTTATTTCTCGCGGAGCGAAACAATAGAAAAACCTCGTTAAAGTAATTTTGATAACCACCGTGTCGGTGTGTCGGTCGGTCATTTCAATTTTCATTAGTGTTTCATTTCTCTACGTTTAAAGATAAAAGCTAAAACTTCACGGTATATATTTTATCTGTATACAATACCTCAGGGCTGACGTCCGCAGTGTTAGCACTGGAGACGAATTCTCTCAGAAAACCGTCTAACTCAGTGCCTTCGATGTATCCGTTACCTGAAAACAACAAGAATGCCTTCAGTGAAAATATGAATTCGCAAATGAAAAGAGTCCCACAAAATGTAATGCTCTAATACAAATGTAATAAATGCAAATGTGTGTCATTTGAAAATATAGCAAGAGAATAATGAATAAATATGAATAATAAGAATAAAATATGCCGTCAAAAGTAACCAATTTTTTTTTTTTTTTTTTAATTGTTACTGTTATTTTTTTGTGGGATTACCTAAATGTGAAAAATGTTTTTTCACTAACAAAATTTAATGTAAAAACTTATTTTTAAGACAACAAGTTATGTATTAACTACAATGTCAATACGTTTTAAAATAAGATTTTATAAATAATAATACAATTAAAACGTATATTATAATACAACGTATTATTGTTAAATATTATTTAAAAGTTTGATAGCTTTTAAAAGCTAACTAAAGTAAATTTGTATTAATCATATTAATGAGCTAAGTTATTAGCTAATGAAAATCGGTTTCAAACAAAGTAAAATTAACGATGTGTGTAAATAAGAATTACAGTAGATTAAACTTCGACTTTTAACTCGTCTGCGGTCAAAAGTTCGGGGTTTGCCGGTACGACATACATTATCACGTTTAGAGTACTATTTTAGAGTATTACTCGAAGGAATATTATTTCGGAGTTCTTTTTTTTTGGGTAAATCATCCAATTTATTAGTATACCATGTGCATACTATACGAATAAAGCCGATTTGGTCGTGAACGGATTAACATTAAAAGCAATCGGTTTCATTCTATGAACAATTAAATATGTATAATTATATGTAATGTGTATATTATATGATAATTTATCGTATGGGGTGAAGTTTAAATACCGCAAAATACGCATTGAATGTATGGAATCGTGTCATGAGTTGTTCGATATGACTATTAAGTTATTAAACTAATTAAAATTAAAATCTATCCATTTATATATTGTACAAACTACATTTAAATATTTTAGGCTAACACTGCCGGCGAAAATTAATTAAATGATATTACTGTATAAAATATACGATTTACGTCTCACCAATTCAGCGGCTGAATTTCTAAACGAAAAATTAAAATTAAAATTCACTAGATGAAATTTTATGCGCAAACCGATATTGATATTCAGAACGACAGAATTTTGGTTCGGGACAGAGGTGACGTTCAATAAAGTATAAGAGATGCGAACAATATTGTCCTTATAAGAGACGATAGTGGCTAATATACTATAGCGATAGCGCACGAAGGCGTACGTTTCATGGAAGATCGAGAAAGCAATAAAAATGTAGAAAATGTTACCTTATGACGATCCGACGGGGGGGGGGGGGGGATTGCGCAATAGTAAAAATGTAAGCTCGGTACATTTTTACCGCGTAAATTTATCAATTATTATTGAAAAAATTAGCATGTGACACCTCAAATTAAACGTCTTAACGAGGTGCACATTCATAACATGTCAATAGAATAGAATAGTTGAAGTTCACTACTAGGTACTAATTACGTATATAAATGTATATTAAATTTATAATACAATGAACACCCTACTGTCCGATAGGTAATTAGAATAAGTGATACAATAATTATAAGTTCATGAACTAAGAGAAAACAAGGAGTTCCTAGGGTGATCCTATATTGATGTACAAAAATTATTAAAATTTACCAAACTAAGAAAATTTACGGTAAATATACGTACATTTTTCTGGGTAAATTACCAAAAAAAAAAAAAACGTACACCTTACATCTTTGCGACGCAAGTCATAGTCGATCGATCGACGGCCGGTGCAATCGTTCAACAGTAATTATTCGACACGCTTTCGGGAATGAACGGTGGTTCGGTGCGTGCACACGAGAGAGTTGAGTGGTCACTGGGGACTCGTGTCTGACTGACTCGTAACTGACCCCTAACGGTCGACCGTCGGTTCTGAGGCACGTGTTGGACTCAGAGGGCGAGCGACCATTGTTCGTCAATCGGCCGGTCAACAGACAATACTAGTTGACGATGATCAGAGTTCGTTCTACGATTTGTAGTTCATAGTGCTTTGGCCGCAAAAAATATTATTCGTGTCCGGTCTCGGAGCCGTCTGTTCACCATACCGTTTGTCAGACGATTGTCGAAAATCACGTAGACATCTCTTCTGTGGAATTCGACCGTGTTATATATGGACTGCGCGCTAATTCTCGCTCGATGCGCAACTGTCAATAATTTTTTAAAACATGTTTTTCGTCCGAAAACAATGAAGGTCACGTGTATCAGGAGATTTAGATGTTTGTCAACTTTTTCTCGATTTGAACTTTCGAACAGCATTTGGATTGTAACAATGTGTATATTCATGTTATAACATACAGTTGTTAATTAAAAGAAAAGTGATCGATGGAAAAATGAGTTTTGGTGTAATATGTAGAAATGCATTGAAGAAATAGGGTTCAATTGTACAGATTTTTCTTCAAACGAAATCACATAATTGTGGAGTTATAAAATATTACGAGTATATTGCAAAACTAATTACAAGAAAAGATTAAAATCTTTCAATCTATGTATATAACATTAAGTATGAAAGCGAAATATAAAAATAATAATAATGATAATTATAAAGTATAAGTAAACTGTAATTAGAACATGTAATTACATTTAATAAGTATACTATTATACTGAAGTATTAATGTTATGGTATTTAATGCGGCGTGCAGAGATAATATAATGCCATATAACTAATATTTAATTCAAAATGAATAATAATATTGTTTCTTATATAAAAAAAAAAAAACAGTTTATTTTCAAAGATATTATGAAAAGATTAAGACAGTTGGTAACGACAAAAAATATGTAAGTCATTCTGCATAAAAAATATAGAACACACTATAATCGCTTGACTGGCAATCATAGGTACGAACAGGTACATATTTAGACATTTATATATTTACGCGAGTATGAATGGAACGAGTGTATAATTTTAATATGATATTATACATTGCGTTTTCGTATTCCGCTTTTATTGAAAATCCAATGAACCATTAGTGCACGCGTGCAGAGCAAGTTCGTTCGTATCTAAATGGGTTATGAAAAATAATAATATTTTGGGTACGTTATGAATACAAATGTTTTGACCACGGACGAAAAAAAGAAATCCTTTTAGTTTTTCAATATCAAAAGAACCCTATAAATGAAAACTATATCGGTCATTTTCTGAAATTATGGAGAAACGTCACGTTTGCGAAAACTAAATTACTTATCGAATTACGACTTATGAGATTACGTTTTATATATTTAAAAAAAAAAAATATATATATATATGAAATGAACTTCTTATAATTCCTCCTAAGCCCTTTATTTTATATAAAGCTCTAATTTATTATAATATTATATTATAGATACTTGTATATTTTTTTCTTTTGATTTCATTAACGTATAAACGTTGAGAATTATAAAAAAACGTATTACACCGAAAAATAATTATTTCTCCTTTGAACATAATATTTCTGTGCAACATTTATATTTTTGTGTTCTCTAATCAGAATTGAGCAAATTCCTAATATATATAAATAAAAAAAATATACAATTTTTCAAAAGAAAAAAAAACTAGGTTAATTGTTCTATAATATCCTTAAGTATAGAAATCCTAAATAAATTAAATATCTTAATTTTTAAGTAAAGTACTTATAATTATATCTTGGTATAAATGTTTCAATATTATCCGGTGTATGAATTCTTATTAAACATTAATATTTCAATATTTTTGATATTGCCCGATAAGAATTTAAAACAATAAAATTAATCTTTAAATATATATTTTTTTTGTCTGTGTGTATATAACTGAACTCATCCTAAATAGCTTGAATGATTTTTATGTGCATTAAGTTGGTTTGCGAATGGCTTAGATTCACAATATGACCCGATGAAAAATGGTTTTTATTCGCACGAAACAGGTTTATTTGAACTATTTTTGATACATATAAATATATCTTACATATAAAAATGATATGTTCGACGTTTTGTCCTCAATGGACTTCGAAATGGACTTGGACTTGATTGATTTTGATTTGGTAAAGAGATAGAATATACCTTGGAAAAATATAGGTTACCTATTGTCACAAAAAAAGAAAGGAAACAATTCACCTGATATAGCTGATAAGGCCTGAACGGGCAGTTGTTGTTTTGTGATTGTTATTATTACGGAAAACCCGGAAAGGAACCCTATAGTTACATATGAACCTAGTACCTCAGTGTGTACCTAGAAAATGGTGAACGAGTCTATAGTATTAAAAATAATTTCCAAGAGCAACTATGTTCTCTTCAAAAATTACATTCACCGCGGTGAATTTGTGATAAATCTGTATGTTTATATATCGTGGTATTACACTTGGAACACAACAGTAAGATAATGGAAACGCCGAATTCAAAACAGCTCCTGTTCAGAATTGGCCAGGTACCAAATCTGAAGATGCCTTAGGTCGAGTTTACTCGATCTATGTTAGTATATGGAATGTTTCTTGTTTTGTAATGTTCTTACACTATGTGCGTGTGCCAACCTTTTTCGAAGATCTTAAAAAACTCAATAATCAAGAAGTTTTCGACATTTTGAGAAGTATGGGAAGCGAAAGGTTGTTAAAATATGACAATCGTTAAGATGTAACTCTGAAAGAGGCTGGATATTGTAGATAGGCACCAAATACGAGAGAGCTTTTCGCTGTATCAATAACGGTATGTGGACTTACGTATCCTTAACAACTCTAGGAAAATCATAAAATTGAAACGTATAAAAAAAAAAAAAAAAAAAACTGTACACGAAAATACTTAACCCATTTTTATAATATTATACTCCGTGTATGTGTGTGTGTATGTTTTGTACTTGAAAATGATAAAAACATTTATAAAACTAATTAAAAACCATCCGAGCGAAGTTGGGTAAATAAGCTAGTGCACCTTTATATTTATTATAAATATTTTGTTATCAATAAACATAACCATATGCTGGTAACTAAAGGATGGATACAAAAAGAGAT